TTTTAAACTTGAGGCTTACGCCTTAAAATCCTTTGAGCCTTATGCCTCGCTTCATGAATGAAAAACCTGAATACCCAATTTCCCAATTTTAAACATTGCTCGAGGATTTAATTGTATATGGAAAAGTCTCATCTTGGGATTCTTTTGCTTCACCTTGAATTAAGTTTTCCTATTAACCAAGGGTTTGTTTGGGGTGGCAGTGATTATTTGAAATTTGAAGAAGTTGTTGCAAAATCGGTGTAGGAGAAGCTGCTACAAGGACACTGTTGTTGGCGAAACTTTGTGTTTGTTTGGTTAGTTCAATTGTGCATCAGCTGTGGTGCAACTATTTTTGAAAAAAATGGTCGTATTATCGTTGTATACATGTGTTGTTTGTGAGGTAACCATATATGATTAATATCGCATGTATAAACATAGAAACAAATGTTAGAAATTTAAAAAAAATCACAAGTTCAAATATTACATCAATAAGTTTTTTCACACTTAACATTGAGGAACTCAACATTTAAAACAAAAAATAAAAATACAATAGTAAATAGTAATATTACCGTAATGATACTTTTAAAGTCCAAGTGGGCAGATGTAATTATTTGAAGAAGCTGTTGCACAACCGCAGAAGAAGCTGTTACAAGGAAACTGATGTTGGTGAAACTTTGTGTCTGTTTAGTTAGTTTAGTTGTGCATCAACTGTGTTGCACCTGTCTTTGAAAAAAAGACATATTGTTGTTGTATGTATGTGTTGTTTGTGTGGTAACCCTTTATGATTAATATCTTACATTAAAAATGAAAACAAATTTTAGAAATTTTAAAACATTCTCAAGTCCAATTATTTCATTAAAAAGTTTTTTCTCACCTTACAGTGAGGAGCTCATCATTCAAAAGTTTTTTCTCACTTTACAGTGAGGTAACTCTCTTAGGATCCTTTGCCTTCTTGCAAATATTAGCTCGAGAGGTTGTGGTAGTGCAAATTTGTCAAGATGGAAGCGAGGAACTGCGCTTCGAGAGAGGGAACAATAATAATAATAATAATAATAATAATAATAATAATAATAATAATAATAATAACAAAAAACCGAAAGCTAGCTACTAATCACGGCATAAGAACATTCATTAATCACGTCTCAACATATAATATGTGGGACGAATGCATTAAAGTAACACTATTACATAAGGTAGTGAACCACGCCGCATCCTGGAAGCCACGCTAAACGCACACTTAATTATTATTGTAAGAGATTATCGTGACAATAAATAGTTGTACATTCGATTACCATTCGGGCAAGATCCTCTCAACCCCAATGTGTTGTAGTGTTAATCAACTTATTTAACTTGAAAAATAGATTTTCATCTATGAAGCACAGACACAGACACTACATGATACGATATGATACGACAACACAATATAATTAAAAAAAATAAGACACGACACGTCTGTTGACCTCATTTTTAGTGAGGTCTTAGTTTCATACTCCAAGAACCCATAATCTAGCCTTAGGAGTTCCTTGTTGATCATCCTAGTGGACTAGTAATGGAGCTCACCTCCCGTAGAGCTTCGATCCACTTCTTGATTCATTTTTGTGAAGAACTCGCTGAACTCGCATGAGTGGTTCAAAGCACTCAACTTCTAGTTGCAAGGGTTAAAGAACACAATGTAGAGAGTCCTAAAATGAGTTTCTATACGATCAAACGACCTTAGGTTAACCCTTTGTGACTCGAATACTCGTGAACGCTGCAATTCACGCACTCATTGCACCACACACGACTTTGACTTGATTTGATTTGCCCACCTGTGAGTTTGTACGGATGAACCCGGATGTCGAAAGAGACCTCACTGACGCGTCCGGAACGTCAACTTTAGCTAGGAATGACACCTATATTGCTTGGGTTACAAGCGCACAAATGACACAAAAATCTATGCATTTTTTTAGCGGGCGTGGGCCCGGGCTTAACCCAGGTTCTTTTCGAGTTTGACTTAGGCTGAATATGGGCTAAGTTCGGGCTAATTACTTCAGCCCACAAATTTTAAATTTCAAATTTCAAATTTCAAATATATCATTAACTCCACATATAATGAAAGATTAATTCCTTTCCAATTAAGCCTCCTCTGCGCATGGAAGGTATTGATTTCCCTGCCAATTCACCTATAACGGACACATTTCAAAATTCTGATATAGCATTCGACTCTCTTCCTCCCCGCACGGATTTGGCTTCTCCCCTCTGCATTGAAGTTTGCTCGAGTCATTCGCCTTCCTCACAAAGAAGAAGCCGAAAGGCCTCTTCCTCGCTCGAGATAAACATCGCCTCCCTCTGCACTGCTCGCCCTGATTGGACAGTCGCAGCTCCCCCCGCATCCGATCTCTTTCGACTCCTCCCTCTCATGACGAGATTCGCCTCCTCTTTGCGACAAGAACCCCACACTCCTCTCTGAACCGAAGCCGCTCGCCTCCCTCTCTCTACAGAAATCCAGCTCGACTTGTCGTTCCCCCACCTGCTTCGCCTCTACCGCTCGATCTCGCTTCCTCCTTGTGCCGAAAATCGCTTCTCACCCCTGCCCCAAAATCTGCTCCCTTCATTCGGCCTCCCTCTGTCAAACGAGGCCTCTCCCGACTCGACCTCGCCTGCCTCTCGGCCCAATTCCCTCTTCTCCCCGCTCGGTTCTCCATCGCTAAGCCGAACGTCGGATCGGGCTCCCTCTTCCTCCCATGACTGAAGCCTTCACTCTCTACCCCTTTAAATAGGTATAATTCCTCTCATTTGCCAAACTTGATTTATGCATTTATTTATTTTTTTTTATGCATTTCTGACTTTTGTTGACAGAGAAATATGCATGATAAATTCATTTATGATTGAGCTTTATTCGTATGAAGTGTTTATCATCATTGAATCCATATGCGTTTAGTTTCTTTTACAAATAAAAATATTTGCTATCTGAATTAATATGCTTTGAAGGAGTTATATCCAAATGAATCGATCGAGCGTATTCACCCGGTTTAATCCTGTTAGCCTGAATGAATTGTTGAGTTTTCGTTTGGACTAAGTTGATGTCCTTGAACATGTCAGTTATTTAAATAGGGCATGTTGAAATTTCTTTTGTGTCCAAGGCATTTATTTGACGGTATTTGCAATTGTTTTTTTTAAAAAGAGTATGCTTCCTTTCAAGTTATAGCATTAGGATATTTAAATGAAAATGACGTTGTTGGGAACATGCGCAAGCAAGCATTAATAACCAGAAGGCTTCATGTGATATCAGGGCAGCGTCACAGCTTAAGGAAGATCAAGAGCTGTGATATTGAACGAAGGAATTGAGAGCAAATTCGAGTGACATGATGTGGAGGGATGTCAGAGTTAACCCAAAACCACGGCTCGAACTACACATATTTTATTGCTGAATTCAAGCAGTTATAAAGACGATTCCTCAACTTTAATAACACAACACATGTAAACAATAATAACAATAATGACTGCAGAAATGAGAAAGGTAAATAAGACAAGGATGAAAACGACCTTTTCTAGCAGAATGCTGGTGGTCAAATCGATTGGGGTGAAGCCTGGAAGGTGGATAACTTTATGGGAGTTGTCTGAAATGGATTTTGGTGGCCGTTAGGAGGATATTGAGAGATTTTTGCCCGACTGGAGGATGTAAGGGTGGTCGATGGTAGGTGGGGACGGTGCAGGAAGATGGACGATCTGGTGGCAAGTAGTCAGAAGGGTGGAGGATGTCAACAATTGTCTGGTTGCTTTTGGGAACAATTGGCATGACTTGTGGCCTACTAGAGGGTGTAGGGAGGAAGGTCGAAAGTGGACGAGCATGTGCTGAGGTGTGGACGGTATGTGTGAATGTGTCGGTAGTTGCCACCGACTGGCTTGGAGGTTCCGTCAAGTGGGAGAGGATGGCGTGACTTGAGGCCGATTAGGGGGAACAAGGAAGATCTACAGTGGACGGGCAGGTGCTGGGAGGTGGACGAGAGCCGGGTAGAGTGCGGAGTGCGTGGAGGTAGTGATCATCTCGGGCGAGGTATAGCCGGCACATCGCTCTTCGTTGGCCCTCAGAAGGGAAACATCTTAGAGACACATCTAAAATCAAATAAAAAAAAAAACTTATTTGTCTTCAACGAACAACATCTATAAATAAGACGGAATTAGTAGATAGACTGGGCAAGTGGAAGAGTAGCCAAGAAATAAAGGAAGGGGGAATGAAAAATCAAGGAAGTTGAAATGAGTAGGAAGGGGCTGAATAGGAAGAAAGGGAAATTGTGAGGAAACTAGGAAATGGTGGGAGGTCTTTTGTCCAACCAGCTAGGGCCCAAGAGCCCTGCGTTAGTGAGGGTCATTATGAATTTTTGATTTAACGGAAATGACTATGAGATGACGACGACACAAGTGAGCCGTATGAACTGATCCAACAATAAGTTTTTCCATCTTGAGGACAAGATATTTTTTTTTGGAAGGTGAGTAATGTTCTGACGACGCCAAATGTTAAATGAGTCATTTTTCATTTAATTTTGTTTTCTATGAATATGGTATAAATAGGGCTCATATGTTTTGGGTTAGAGTTTTGGAGTGATCGTCGACCTCTCAAATTATAAGATTTGGGAGAGATTGCCTACCTCTCGAGTTCTACGTACCTATTTTTTATATTTTTTGTGTACATTGTGCGGTGTTGTATTGGTTTGATTTGAGATAGGTGAAAAAAAATTCCGTGCCCTAATTTCTTTAGAAAATGCGGTTTGATTTCTATCACAATACAATCAATAAACTGTTCAATGAACAGTGATTTGACATGATATAAGGCTTTGATATCCCAAACCAAAAAGAAACATTTGATTTCATTGTTTTGTGTTTGTTGAATTTTATTTATTTTATGCTTTCCGGAAAGCAAACTTATTCGCTTGATTTTTATCCTCTATACTGAGTGAAATGCTTTATTTCACGTACAGAGTCCCAACCTTATCATATGTAATTTAATGAACCTCTTTTTTTGTTGTTTCTTTGCATGGTAGCTCCAACAAGATGCCAGAAATGCACGTGATCAGACAAGAACAACCCATGAGCAACTGTGTTTATTGTACAATCAGTGTTTTTCAGTAAGCAAACTCTCTCCCCTTTTACCATGTAAATGGTGCTCTGGTTTCTCTACCTGTTTTTTTTTTTTTTGTTAATATTTGTTTCCCCTATTTGCAACTGTTTCATGTTATTTTTCAGCTTTTCTTTAGCGAACACAAGAATAAAAAATAAGTAGCATTTATGGCGTTGATATTTTTTATAGGAAATCAACGATGACACGCCTGTCAAACTTTCCCTTAACATTGCGGAGATTTCTTCATTTTTTGATTTTATAAGGCATGGATACAGTAATGCTTTTGCTATCTTTGAAGAATGCTTCCAGTTTTTCTCAATCTTATCTGAAATATTGGAGGTAATTCATTCACAAGCCTATGTCTCTCCATTACTTGAATATATTTGTTTTCTGTGAAAATATTTCATTGAAAGCGGGGCTTACTTTTTCTATTTCCCTCATTTATAATATTTTAATTGTTTTTTTTTTAATTTTACAAGGAATAATAAATCTGGAACAGTGGCAATGAAAAATGTCTACTTATGTGAATTTTTTTTCCTTGAAATGTGACTCGGGTAAAATTTGAGCACTTACTGTGAAAATATTTTGCAAGAATTGATTTAATGAGAGTGAAATTATTAACATTTCAGTACTCCTTAAGTTCAAACTCAACTCTTTGTTGTTTTTAAAATGGTTGAAATGATAAGAGTTAGAATTATGATGTATGGGTCATAATATTCAATGTACTATAACAGAATAGTGGTAGCTTGTATCCTCGGTTTGCTCCCTTCTCTGAACTCGGCTCATTTTAATTCTCAAGTTCTAATCCGTTGTTTTAGTTCAACTCGTTATAATTCTCAAGCTTATGGAGCTTTCAACGAGGTCACATCCAGAAAAAAATGTGATGTCCATAGAGAAATAGTTGGCAAGGATACCAAGGTTTTCAGACTTAGTTTCAGTTTCTATTTTAGTCATGGTTTGGATGTTTCATTTTGGAGTATTTTAAATTCACTATCACCTTTTGGATTGGTGTTTTGATTACTGTTATTTAAAAATAGAAAAATATTCATTTTTTATAATTCTTGATTGTTTCCAATAGAGAAAATTTTGATATGGAACCATGATTGTTGACCTATGCTATTATGCTTTCAACTCCATTTAATGAAAAAGAGTTTTTGCTTTCATATTGATCATTGTTTTTCCTATTGTGGTAACCGCTATGTTTTAATGTGTGCGCATGTTTTTGTGTGTGTGTGTGTAGAGAGGGAGAGAGAGAGAGATGCAATAATGTTCAACTATAAAAGAGCTACTAATTTATAAAATATATGTAAACCTCTTTTAATAAAGTACTTAAAGTCATCCAACTTGGTAATTAAAGTGATTAAACATGTAAACCAAACAATCTACCATCTACTTTCAACAGTTTATCTTTTCCCGCAAATAAATTTACTCATACTAATCATATGAGTCTAGCATAGTTTTTTTTGGAAATAAAAGTTCAATAACATGTTATGCAGCTGCTTAACGTAAATGCTCAACATGAATGCTCGGATGATTATGGTTATGAACCTATAAAGTATTACAATTTTTTTATCAAAATATTTATTGAACGGTTTTTTTTATAAAAATATTTATTGATTCTTGGTGTATGCTTCTTGCTGATGATATCCTTCTCGTGGATAAGACGAGAAAAAGCCTGGGAAAAACTTTAATTATGGCGGTCTACATTGGAGTCTAAAGGCCTTCATTTGATTAGAACTAAAACTGAATACAGGGAATGTAATTTTAGGAGTAGTAGCTCTAGTGACAAAAGTGTAACTTTGGGTGATCAAATATTAAAAGGTGTGAACAATTTAGATGTCTCGGGTATGTTGTTCAAAGTGATGGTGATATAGATGAGGATGTTAATAGTAGAATTCAAGTGAAGTTTTAGACTACAAGGAAAAAATTATAAGAGCGTAGTGAGATCTACAATGCTCTATGGCGTTGAATGTTGGCCTTTAAAAGAGAAGTATAATACTAAGTTAAGCGTTGCTGAGATGAGAATGATTGAGTGGATGAGTGGCTTTACACAAAATGCGAAATGAATATATCCGGGATAGGGTTGATGTAGCTCCAATGACAGACAAAATAAGAGAGTCCTCTTAGATGGTTTGGTTACATTAAACATCGACCATCTGATGATCCGATTAGGAGAGTAGATGTTTTAGATTCAACCTACGTTAAGAAAGGCAGAGGTAGACCTAGGAAGACTTTGGCTTATTGTATAAAAAAATTGGACGCAATTGAGAAAAAATGATTCATTTAGGTGACCCCACGTTGTGGGATTAAGACTTTGTTGTTGTTGTTGCCGTGGGTATCCATTGTGTTGGATTTATGATACCATTTCAAATCAAACAACCATTAGAATATATGATAAGTCTCTTTTCTATGTGTTGTGTAGTAGATTCATCTAAATAAATGCCATCATAGATTAATGTAGCCGACCCCACGTAGTGGGATTAAGGCTTTGTTGTTGTTGTTGTTGTATATTGGTCAATTATATTTTATTGTATTTCCTTTAATAAGTCAACTCAAGGGTACCATTAAATTTTTTTTTACCAATAATGATACAAGCATTTTCATTTCCTTTAACGTGCACAAATATAATTGAGTGCCCAATTGATAATATAACTGAGGTGACTCATTTACAAATATTTATTTTCTTTTAGTCATTAAATTCTTTTGTTTCATTTAATATAATGCAAAAGTTGACTAAACTGAATTCATAAAATAGTTATTTCATTTTAACACATCTTTTTCTGATTATGCTTTTAATGTGTATCAGCAAATGACACATTTTTTTTTTTACTACTTAGCTTAGGTTGAATCTAGCTTATAAAATGATGACTTTAAATCTTTTAGCTGTGTTGTATGAAATGAGATTCTTGAAATTTATTTATGAAATAATACTTAAATTTCAATTGAATATAAGCTTTATCTTTGGATTAGAAAATCATAAACTGGCTCTGATACGAAATGATAACAAAATTTAATTCAATAAGTTAGTTACCCAAAATATGTTTTCTATCCTTAGCTGGCTGGTTGGTCCAGGCTCCTTGCTGGACTGACTCCCCATGGCTGAATCGGTCAGTTCAGTCCATATGCCCCGCGCAAATAAGGGGGTCTTTTGATAGGCTTAACCTAATTTTTTTTGTTTACAATTATTTACTTTCTTTTATTCTGTAAATTCATTTATTTTTCATTTAATATTAGCGAATGAAGGAAGAGGAAGGCTTATGGGACTGACTTGTGCATCTCGGAGCAAGGGGCAGAACGCGAATTCAACTATTCCATGTTTTCCTCTCTTCTCGCTTTCTTCTCTTCGTTCTGGTTTGTATGCGATTCGTATGTAAAGGTCGAAGTAGCTGGTGATGGCCCTAGCAGAAGCTAATGTCAAAAGCTTTGGATACGCATATTTTACACATTTTTTCTTTTTGCAACCCATGCAGATGCAATTATAAGTAAGCTTCAAGTTAGTGAGTTTAGGTAGAAGAATGAGCCTACCTTCTTGATAATTGCAGACCAAGTGTACAAATTCTTTCATCATTGTTTTCGTTTACGCTTGCTTGTTTATGATCTAGTTTTTTATAATTATCAGAAATTCTTGTATTTGTCGCATTTATCTTTTTGTAGTTGAATCACATTGTTTTATCGTTGTTATTTTGAAAGCTTAACTTAAAAAATGATACTATTTAGCGAAAATTACATATATACCACACCATTTCTTTGTATTTACATTTCTAAAACTTTGAAATTTTTATTTATAACACTTTGGTGTTAGACATTGTGCATGAAAATGTGTATTTTACTTTTAAAAACTTAATAATAGAAATATTTTTGATGTGATATTAAATTTTATAGTTTTATGTTAATTGTAAAAACAACTTTCAGGACACTCATTGGAATATACTTTTACAAAGTGATGCGTGTTTTTGATGAACTCATTGACCATCAAGTTAAATTTTATGTGGACGATTTAGTCGTTAACAACAAACAGAAGGACGACCGTGTGTACGATTTGAGAATTGTCTTCGAATGATTACGACAATCCAATCTTAAAATAATTCCCTTAAAGTGCGTCTTTGGTGTCACTTCAGGGAAAGTGCGCCTTTGGTGTCACTTCTTAGGATTTCTTGTTCGACATCGTGGGATCGAAGTTGACCCTCTCAAAATTGAAGCAATCATAAGCATGCCTACTCCGAAAAATCTTACCCAATTAAGGTCCTTCCAAGGAAAATTACCGTATATAAGACGTTTCATTTCTAATCTTTCAGGAAGGTGTGAACCTCTCACCGCCTTAATTAGAGAAGATACCAAATTTGTGCGGGATGAAAAATGCCAACACGTCTTCGAAAACATCAAATAGTATTTAACAACGCCCATGTTTCAGCAGTCCCCGTGTTAGGAAGACCTCTAATCCTCTACACTGCGGTATTAAAAAATTCCCTCATAACGTTGTTAGCCCAAGTCAATGACGAGGGAAAGTAAAATACATTATATTATGTAAGTCGTTGTTTGGTTCCAAGAGAAATAAAATCTCCTGCAATTGAAAATCATTGCTTAGCTTTGATCTTTGCAAAAACTAAGGCACTATATGCTTTCTGATAAGGTAGCTCTTATCTCGAGAGCTAATCATTTACAATATTTAATGACACGACCAACATTTTCTGGAACATTAGCACAATGAGCAATGATACTGCTCTAATTCGACATAATGTTCATACCGTTATGCGTTGTCAAAGGACAAAGTTTTGCGGACTTCTTAGCGTCAAACTCTGTACTGGCTGGATCCCCTCTTAAAGATGATCTACCTGATGAGCTAATATTGGAAGTTGAAAATTCTAATATGTAACGGTGGCAATTATATTTTGATGGAGCTTTATCGGCTCACAAAAACAAAGGCAGACGAGAAACTATACCTGGTAAGGCGGGAGTAGGTTTGATCTTCATCACTCCAGATAAAACAATGATGTCGTTTTCTTATCACCTAACTGAACCTTGCAGGAATAATGAAGTTGAATATGAGTTACTCATAACCGGGTTGGAACTGACAATATTAATGGAAATCAAGAAAATTGACATTTACGGAGATTCTCAACAGATCATCAATCAAATAGCGGGAAAATACAAAAACTTT